TCCCAAGCGGCGCACTATCCATTGCGCCACCGGGCCGGCCCCATTTCTACAGGCACTTTTGCATTTAATTGGTGGATATTTCTTTTTTTTTTTTGTCCTTTTTGAGACCGGCCGCACTGTGCTCAGCCAGTGAGCGCTGCGAGCGCACCGGTCATCCCTATATAGGATCCGAACCCGGGGTGGGAGCGCCGCTGCGCTCCCCAGCGCCGCACTCTCCCGAGTGTGCCACGGGCTCGGCCCAATTGGTAGATATTTCTAGTGCTGAGACATTCTATTCACAAATGAGAATAAGGCTGCAATAGGTACACAAAAGGCAAATGAATTTCTGCAGAAACTAAAATATAAAAATGGGCAAAAGCCTGGTAGTTAAATAGCTCTGTGCTGTCAGTAGTTTAACTGTAGACATACATACTGTACCTAGCTGATGACCAAATGCATAGCTCAACTGGTGACACTAGAGGGTGCTATTAGTGAAAGCTTAGAAAGATGAATAAAGTCTTCCAACACCCTTCCCCCTCTCCACCACTATAGATTATAAGAATTTGAAAAAGGCACACCTGTGAAACTAACACTTCTTTATTCCCTCCTGGACATGACTTGTGAGGTTTGTTGTTGTTGTTTGTCCTGAGACTGGCCTTACAATATTACCAAAATAATAAAATATTAGGAGTTCATTATAGTGCTCGGACAAGTAATTGGGAAAAGTTTGAAATGGTTCCCTGCTCTGAGAAAAACTTTACCAAACGCCTAAGAAGGGGAGGACAAGAAAAAAAAAAAAAATACCCAAGAAAGGGCTTTCCACTGAGGAAAGATTTCAAAAGGAATTCTTGACTACTCAAGGCAATTGTTTGTTAATCAAATCATATAAGATTTTTTTCCCCTCTAGGCTTGAACAGCTCCATACTTGTAGTGGACAGAAACTGCAGCCGACTTTCTTGCACAAGAACCTGGAATTATGGCTGTGTGTGCATAGCTGAACTTTGCTGAAGCACTGAGTTCTGATTAATGCAATTAAACGAGTGAAGGTATGCGGTGGTGTCCTAAAGGTTGCTGTTTCCAGCTAAAGAATGTGTTTCGTTTATTGTACTCTCATTTTTCTACAGATGAATAGTTGCAAACTGTACCAGATGAGGCTTTTCATCTCTGTTATTTGCCTATATTGTGATGGCAGCCCATGAGCAGGGGAAATGATTGTCTTTTAAAGTGTAGAAGTATCAGAAGGCTATTAACAGTCACTATCCTTCTTGTTTCCTTAGGACAGGTTTTGGCTTGACTTATCCACATGTTGCATGGTGAGGTAAAAGATTTCAAGAGGTTTTGGTTCTTGAGGAAAACAGAATTCTTTTTCGTTGTTGTTTCTTTTAACATTGAGAATGAATTTTTTTATCCTATCAAAGTTCCTATGTGGCTATCTCTTCAGGAAGTATGTATCAACTATTGCTCTAAATTTAGGAAATACACACATATACGAAAACAATCACAATGTTTCCAAAGCAATGTATTGGTATTGATAAAAATATACATTTTTCAAGAGTTCTGGATTAATCCCACATTACTCTGAGCCTTCTTTACTTTTTAAGCCTCTTTGTATCTACTATAAGATATGACTATGAGCTAAGTAGATTTAACTTTTGTATGGTTTGTGATATCAGTTATATTTTCTGATGTGTGATAACATATGTGTATTTCGTTGAAATGTACGGGAAAACTGCTGCTTTACGTGTTTCTTTCTTTCTTTTTTTTTTTTAACAACCATGGTTTTGGTTTAGCCAATAAAGTATTTAGTGGGTGCCTATTTCCAGCCAGTTTTCATTGACTGGACTACTGCAGACATCCAATTTTTAATGATTAGATATGTGCTTAGATTATCAACAAAGGATTTCTGGTTTTTGTTTAACATCGACCAATTTTTATTTCATTATTACTAAAACTTAGCTGAATGTCAGTTTCTGTCTCTGGCCAAAATGTAGGTGATCCTCTTAGATTTCCTTTTACATAAGGTGAAGAATGATGATTTATTTTACTTTCATGTAAAAAAATGTCTTGAATTTCTAAATTAATCATTCTTTCTTAATTAACTTCTAAATAGAGTAAAACCACAGGTGCAGTTTGGCACACTACTGATACTATTGTGGCTATCTTTTTTTGACAGGCTGGAGAGTGAAGGGGAAAGGTTTGAAGCATAGAAGGATTTTCTTTTAAGAAAAAGAAAAAGTGTCACGCAAAATTGGCAATGAAAATAAAATGTTCTACCTAGATTCCTTCCACGGTGAATATTATTATTATCCTCCATCTTCTCTAACCCTGTTGCTGGAGCTTGAAACACTAAAAGAGCTTCTCCTTCAGGCTGAACCTAATCCTGTTGTAACAAAGAATCCCCCAGAAATCTCTACCTTGTCAACTGATCGGTTTTTGAACTAGATCTCTTTTCAGACCGAGTGTTCAGTGTTCTTGTGGTGAATCGTAGTGGTCTTATTTGTAGAATTAGCCATCTACCTCAGTTATTTCTGATATTCATTGGGATCATCGGCACTCTTCCTAGTCTCTACCAGTGCCTTTCCTTGGTGCCCTAGGTTCAGTGTCAATGAAATATTACCTACCTGGCTGAGGGACGTATCCCAACAGGAAAAACTTCTTAGCACTGTCCTACAAATATCAAAATAACTCGTGACTCTAGCCTGTCATTTTATGCTTTACATTTTGGGACCACTTATTCTTTGGAAGGTGCTGAAGTGGGTAGGCTATGTTGGTAAGCCTTTTTGTTTGTTTTTATTTATTTATTTTTGGGGTAAGCCTTTTGCAATTCATCACAAGAAGTAATGATATATTATTTGAAGATGTTTATTATTCTTGAACAGTGCAACTGAATTACTTAACACTCACACTTCTACTTCCGTCAATTATAAATTATTCTAAAAAATAACCATGATGTAACAATCATTGAAAAATTATAAATAAAATGTCAGAATATATGAAATCAACTTTGTCATAAAGTTGTTAAGTGACAGAGGTTTTCAAATATTCTATGAATTATTAAAATAACCACCTTTTTTTTTTTACAGGGATCACTTGAGGAAGAGCCTGAATGGATTTCTGAAAAGGCCATAATATTTTAAAAGCCCATTTACAAGAGAAGATGTGTGGTAACTTTGAAGTATACCTCAATTAATGGCACAGACAGTGAAATGAGTATCTTCAGAGTTAGTCAAGGACATCAGGAATTATTTACTTAAAATGAAAATATTGAAAGTATTAAACTGTATTTGTCAGCTACTGTTATGAACTAACATTTCACGGAGGATTAAGTGCTACTACAGTCTGTACTAAATTAACTTTTATTTTTAACTTTGTGTCATTCTGTTCTTCAAACGTCTTTCTGGGTTAATGACTTATAAAAATAATATAAATTAAAAATTTCCCTGAAATATAGTGCCTACTTGTTATACTTTACAGAACCACTTGGACATGAGATGCAATCTAGACTGGCAGAATTGTCAGATAAACAATACTTTCATTGTTACATTAGATTTGATCTACCAAGAAGCTATAAATTATAGTCAATAAACTTAACAAAATTAACTTCGCTTAGAGTTCTAGTCAACTAATAATAAATTAAAATAAATCCCCAAACTAGAAGATAGTCTTTTTTTTCTCCAAGGGATGTTTGGAAACTAGTAAGCTGGATTGGGTATCAGAGAAGGAGGAGGAGGAAGGTGGGACGTGAAGAACAGGCAATCTCAGCGTCCTAAGGAAGGGGAGCTGGTAAGCGTCCTTTTTTCCTTTTAAACTTATTTTCTTTCTCCTTCAACTTCATTACTATCACTTTTAAAACTTACTCTGTGCTACTTCTCTTTCAACTTTTCTACAAGTTCTCCGGTGGTATAAAGTGCTCATCTTGAGACTGGTGTGGGAAAGAATGATAGTGAAAAAAGGAGCTAAAGTCACCATTCTCTTCACAATGATTCCATTCCGCAAACTCTGGGACAAAGGGAAGGGTGCTAGCAGGTAGCAAATGGTGGAGAGACTCCAAGTGGTCTTCAAACCCTGTCCCAAGACCCCTGATCTTTTTACTTTGAGCTCTCCAAGCCCAAGTTTGGGCAGTGTAGTCTACAATAGAAAGAGGAACTTGCAGGGGAAATGACAGTGATAGTGTGTTTTTTGTGCGCTTCTAGGGGGCAGCAGAGGGACAAATTAGAGTTGGAGGAGGTAGGGATGGTACAGAGATGGGAAACAGGTTTATTTAAAGGAGAACCTCCTGTGTCTTTAATATGTAAATATGTGTTGTGACTTTACAGCACAGCACATGAAGAGTTTATTCAACCTGCGAAAACTTTTGAAGTAGTGTGAAAAATGCTGCTGGGCAGTTGTAAAAGTAGTCTTGGCTCCTCAAAACTGTTGGCTCCATCATGGTGAGGTTAATTGCTCTGCATATGGCTATGTCCTGCTATTAACATTCACATTACCCTTGATGTGCTGCTGCCCAAACCAGACCAGACCTAATTTCAAAACTGGGGATATGAAGAGCCATTTATGGATATGGAAATAAAAGGGAGTAAGTTGAAGAAGTCTGTGCATTGTAGCACAACAGTGAGAGATTCCATTGTAACTATTTTGGACATAATATTTTGCATTATTGATTAGAAATTGTGATGTACGTAACACAGTTTTAATTTCCTAAAGCACCTTTTTTTTTTTTTTTTGGCTATGTTTTTACTGCATGGCATGAAGGGAACAGAATCAGCTATGATGTGTATTACCTAAGAGTCTAGAAAGCCTGGATTTAATTTGTGAATCTATGGCATTCTGCTGTAGAACATTTGGTAAGTTACTTAAACTCTAAATTCCTGTTTCAATAACTATGTATTGAGAAATAAAATTATCTTGAGAATTCTTATCAGGAATAAATGAGATGATGAACATAAAAACTGCTGATGGAGTACCTTACACAAATATTTTAATACTTTATATTTTTGTAGTTATAAAAATATTTTATATATTTACAGTTTAACACTACAAAAATTTATACTTCATTAGACATCTAAAGCAGTCATTGAAATAAAAGGAGAGGTGGGGATAGCTGTATTAATCATTTGCTCATTTGTTAGTTCATTTATTCATTCATAACAAATATTTATTGAAGAACTATATATTTGAGGCACATTTTTAGGCATATTAATTCCTTAAATAGCCTTTCTATTTTGTGTGTGTTTTATAGCTCTCTAGATGGTGAGTTATTTAATGCTGAGTACAAACTCATTAATTGAGGTAGGCAGGGAGAAGGGATTGGTAACCTCAATTTATTTGCGGAAAATAAATATTCCCTCCAACACCACCCACATAACTTGCACCTCCCCTGAGGAGCTATTGCACCCTTAAATACAGTCCAAAATTAATATTAATGATTTGTGTAATATATACATATACATAAATATAGAGATACATATTTTGTAACAGTAGGTTGTCCCTATTTTAGATTTTTTGAACAGCCCCATATTGATTGAATAACCGATATAAATAGAGGCCAATTTACAATGAAGTTAATGAAGTTTAAGCTTGAGGGCCCCTCACTTACATTGGCCTCTTCTAAGGCTTGATATTACAAAATCACAGTCATGAGAAAAAGCAATCAACTAATAGGCAGCCAAAAATGTTGGAAAAAGGTATAGAGGTGCATCAAGGCGATTATTATTAAAAATGTGCTACATACATACTTGGATTCTGTGATGTTTGTGATATTTGTCAGCATTTATAAATTCGTCATTTGTTCTGATCTCTCTTTTCTCTACCTACAAATAAATATTCTGTTTATACCAAATTTTGTATGATAATTTCATATTCTTTTGTTAAAGAGAGCCGACATGTATAAGCTTTAAGTTCCAAAAACTAGGACTCACACCCATTTATCCATGTCAAAAGACTTCCCTTTTATTCTTCCAATGGAAATGAAAAATACCTTTTTAAAATGGAACTTAAGTTATAGTTTTGGGCATTTACTAAGTGGATTAATTTAGGTTTACAAAATAACCTCAATTTCTAATTTTGAAAAATTTTTAGTTTCTATAGCCTTCTGGAAAATAATTCTTAGCCAAATCAGCAACTAAAGGGAAAGTAAGAAGAAACCTCAATACATTTGTGCAAGAGAGTTTAGTCCTTTAGTTAAAGCACAGAAAGCATGTACTATGCTACCATATGGATGTCTATAAACTAGGACTGGCCTTTATCAACTTGGAAATTATAGAAATTGTTCAAGTTTTGGACTTTTGGTTATAAGTCATTTTTCTTCTCAGATAATCATCTGTCATGTTTAAAAGATATATGAAATTCCTGAGAAATCAAATAAAATGGAATTTTGTATTGAACATAAAATAGAACAACTATCAAATCAATCTTTCAGAGTTCTATGATGACAATCCTCTCCTGGATTTCATATATTTTTTTCACTTTGAACTGCTAAGTATATTATATTTCACACAAAAGGAGCATTAGTCAAACTTTAAAATTTTTCTTCAGACCAGTTGTCATTTTTGTTATTTTTAAGTGACAAGGGACAGGAAGCAATTGCAATGATTCTCTCTATTCCAATTGAAGTTCTTCTCTTACTTATAATCTGCTCTGAGAAGAAACTGGCATCGTAATTTACAGACTAAATTAAAATGAATAGGATTCCTTTATGAAAATACAGAGTAACTAGACTTTAGCGAATAATAATAGCTCATGAAACTCTTAATGGTTTTGTGTTTGTTGTAATACTGTACATAGTTAAGTATTTTTCTATTGAAAAAAGTTCATACTTGTATAAGAGAAGGAGCAACTTGGAATTTATTAAAATGGAGCATTTTTTAGTTAAAAAGTGATCAAATCTTGAGTTTCTCCCCTTGGGAAAGTTCCTTTAAGTAAAGCATGTGTTTAGAAGTATGGCTAAAAGTCTACTAGTTAATAATGACAAACAAGTGTGCTGCCCACGTATGCATATGATCATACCTGCTCTTTTTTTTTTTTTTTTCTTAGCAGCAATGATGGCTTTCCTTTATGATCAAAAACTAGATGTTCGTTAGAGACTTGGTTAATGGCAAAGGGCCAGTGTGGGTGGAAACAAAATATTTTTTTTCTGTGCAAAATTAGCTGGCCTATATGTGACTCAAATCCATGAGCTTGGACTCATTAGCACAATACTTTAACTAATTAAACTAATGAATCTCGAAAAAATGACAAATCTTAAGTTAGAGAATAAGGTTTTCTTTTAACTTGGCTTGTTAAAACAGAAGCAGACTATTAAGTAAGGATGCCACAAATGTGCTAACACTTCCTGAAATCACACTGACAATAGGGAGAAAGATTGTCTTTCTCTTTTGTCCCTGGCACGTGTTCATAATTGCAGAGAATATCATAAGTTAGAGAATGTCATAAGTTACTAGTCTACTGGCCAAGTGTTGATAGTAATAATAAATGCAAAAGGCGATATGGGGAATTCAAAAATTAAGGAAGACAGAACAGAAATGCTGGAAATTGCTAAAATACTGTGTATGCATGTTCACAAACATGAAAATAATAACTTAAGAAATCTAATAATTTTTCTTTTCTGAAACATTTGGTGCTGAATTAGAGACCAAACCAACATAGCACCACCAAATCTAATATTGGGTGATCACCAAATCTAACTAGGCCAATTAATTTGTTTGGATCATTAATCATTTTGGTGATCCTAATATCCATTGCAAGAGGACTGAAGCAAATCCATAAGTTTGTTTATTAAGCTACCTTAAGGATTTATTCAAGCAACCGTGTAATATTTCCTAAGTGATGCATTTACTTAAAATTATGTTCTTAGAAGCATGTTCCTTGGATTTGTAATTAATACTAGCTTTAAAGGCTCTGAGATGTATTACAGCAAAGAAATATATGTAACAATTTCTAACCCAGAATTTCCCAAAATTAATTGCCTGTGGAGTCTGTCTTTTTTCTTTTCTTTTTATCAGTAAAATCTATTATTGTACTTTTGAACTCACTTTGAGAGATAGTGACTTATAAGGTACTTATATTCCTACTGAGAAAGCATATAAAGGAATAGATTCCAATTACTTGCATATTGTAGAACTATCACAAGAGAGAAATTGAAACCCAATTATGATTATAATTACTTCTTTTTGTCTCTAAATTTTACACTTTTATATTTTAATGTATAAACTTATATCATATAATATTTTAAATGGTTAGAATCAAATTAATAGATTTGCACAGCTGTTCTTTAAGTTCTAGGCATTTGGACTAGAGTGTCTTTACTATGTATCAAAATGTTCATGACTATAAGAAAAGCAATATCAATTACTTGGTCAAAGTCCAGTTTCAGCTAAATTACATTCTGTCTAATCAAAATTCTCCTTATAACATCGATTATATGTAGTTTTATTTCACTTTATACCTTAAAACTC